AGTACAGATTTATACAAACAAAAGGGTTATAACAGAAAGGACAAGCTCACACCTACCATCATCGTTGATTCCATGGACGAGTATGGATTTCCAGCACAGCACCTCTACCCATTTCTCTCTCTGTTAACCAACAGAGAAAAGGGAGAAATGAGCTGCGCACACAAAACCTAATTCGATTTAGGTTTCTGGAACAAAGGGAAAAGACAGAACTGCCCCTCTTGCTTAACAAATTACTTTGACCAGCCAACCTCCAGTTTTGACTCCTACGTGTCATTTAAAAATGCCACATCACTACAATCTCCACTTGGCATTGATCTTCTCCCTTTCTAGTTGCCCCTGAAAATTCTTCTTAATTCTCTTCGATATGCAGCTCTTGAAGAGCCTTAACTTGTCTAAGGTTACTGTCTTGTGAACATGTCTGCTGGATTCTCCTTACAGGGATTCTCCACCTTGATAACTTTGTCTCCTATCAAGTTTCTTATGAAATGAAGTCTAACATCAATGTGCTTCGACCTCTCATGAATACCTGATTTTACACAGAAAAATAGCACTCTGACTATCACTTTTAATAGGAACATGCTGCTGGATCAGTCCCATTTCAATCAGCATCCCCCTATCCACTGGCCTCCTTGACTGCTTCTGTAATTGCCATACTCTGCTTCGGTAGTGACAAAGTTACAATAGCCTGCAGATTAGCTTCCAGGAAACCAAGTTATTCCAAATAGAAAAACAAAACCAGTCATGGACTTCCTATTGTCAATGTTTCCAGCATAATCAGCATCTACACATCCCATGATGGGATTTTCCAGAATTTTTCCCCTACTGTAACTATCCATGGACGAGTACCCTTCACATACCTAAGGATCCATTTAACAGCTTCCCAATGAGGTTTTTCCCGGATTACCATAAACCTACTAACTGCACTAACAGCAAAAGCTAAGTCTGGTCTGGTGCACACCATCAAATACATCAGACTTCCTATGGCATTGGCAATGGTATACTAGCCATTTCTTCCTTATCTTCTTCAGTTTCTGGACACTGGTTACACTAAGCTTAAAATGTTGACCTAAAGGTGTTTTAACAGGCTTAGAGTCAATCATATTAAACTTCTTGATCAGTTTTTCAGCATATCTTTCTGTGACAGTATGAGGCTTCCAGTTTTCCTATTTCTCTCAATGTTCATACCCAAAATCTTCCTAGCTTGTCCTAATCTTTCATACAAAATGTTTACTCATTTCTCCCTTAAATTTATCAATTTCTGAGACATCCTTACAAGCTAGCAACATATCATCCACATACAGTGACAGATATATATAGCTTCTCCGTATAACATTTGAAATAAAAACAACCATCAAACTGCTTCGGATAAACCCAGCATTTAACATGAAAATCAATTTCCTATACCACTGCCTAGGGACTGCTTCAAGCCATACAAGATTTTTTTAACAAGCATACCTGATTTTTATTTCCCCTTTCAAAGCATTCAGGTTGTTCCATCAAATTTTCTCCTCTAAATCACCATTCAAGAAGGCGTTTTTGATGTCCAGCTGTTCTAATTCTAAGCCAAACTGAGCTACAAGACACACAGTATCCTAATGGTTGTATGTCTCACCACAGGTGAGAAGATCTCATTGAATCCACCCCTTCAACTTGTGTAAACCCTTTGGCCACTAACCTCGCTTTAAACCTAGGAGCTTCTACACCCTGGTATGCCTTCCTTCCTTTAAAAACCCATTTACATTTTACCACCCTGCGGCCCTTAGGTTTGTTAATTAAAATCCAGTTTGGTTTTTAATTAAGGAATCAAATTCTTCTTGCATAGCTAGCTTCCACTGCCTAGATTCCCTACAACTCATGGCTTCCTTAATAGTTCTAGGTTCCTCATCAGTGTCTTCAGCAATTTGAAGGGCAAAAGCAACTATATCAGCATGTGAGTACCTCCAGGCAACCTGATTTCTCTTCTCTCTCTTCCCTAGCTAGTTGGTAGTTTTGCAAATCAGTTTCAACTCTATCATTTTCATCACTGTCCTCTATGGTAGGTTCATCTTCAACAGGCTGATCATCAGTATTGTGGTCTGGTTCAGTACTGTCCAGGTTTGGGTTTTCTTCACCTAACTCTAGGTTTAGGGATTCTGCCCTTACTGGTTTTTCACTTTCACTCAAACCATTCTGATTTAGGCCAATCACTTCATCCTCCTTGAACCTAACATCTCTACTGATTGCACCTTTGTCCTACAACATCCCAACACCTATAGCCTTTTATACCATCAGGATATCCTAAGAAAACACGTCTGATTGCCCTTGGTTTTAGCTTATCAGTTTTTCATATGCACAAAGTACATCCAAACACCCTAAGGTTTCTATAATCAGCAAGATACCCTGACCATTTTTCCATAGGTTTTCTAAACTAAGGCTGAGGATGGACTCCTATTAATCAGATGAGCTGCTGTGTGAGCACTTCTGCCCAGAACCTAGTAGGTAATCTAGAATCAGATAGCATGCTCCTAACTTTCTCAAGAATGGTCCTATTCATCTTTCTGCTAAACCATTTTGCTGAGGTGTGTTCTACTGTTCTATGTCTTAGAATTCCACTCTCCCTACACAGATTATCAAACTCTGCATTAATGAACTCCAGCCCATTATTTGTTCTTAGTTTCCTGATTTTCTTCCCAGATTGGTTCTCAATCATGATCTTCCAATCCTTAAATTTCCTAAAGGCTTCATCTTTGGTTTTTAGAAAATAGATCCAGACTCTCCTAGAAAATCATCTATAATGCTAATGAAGTATCTATATCCTCCCAAATGGATGTTTGGTTGGCCCCCACATCAGAGTGAATATATCAAGGTACCCTTAGAACAGCGGCTTCCCACACTGAACCTGATTCTACTCATCTTCCCATAACCAATGATCACAAATTCAGTTTCTCAATCCTATCCCCCCTAAAGCATTCTGCTTACTTAACTCAATTAAGCCTCTCTCACTAATGTGTCCTAACCTTTTATGCCAAATAGAGGTTTGATTAGGTTTCTGAGATGTTACTGCTGCTGTTCCAGTAACAGTGGATCCATTCAAAACATATAACCATTCCTTTTCTCTCCTTTCATAACCACCAGGGACCCTTTTGTAACTTTCATGACTCCACCTTGAGCTTTGTAACTAAAACCATTAAGTCCACTACCTAAGGAAATCAGGTTCCTTTTTAACCAGGTATGTACCTAACTTCTGAAAGAATTCTAGAACCCATCATGAAGACTTAATCTCACATCCCCAATGCCTAATACACTACATACTGCATTATTTCCCATTAGAACCTTGCCAGATCCTAACTTTCGAAAGTTCATAAGAGAACTCCTATTTGGAGTCATGTGAAAAGTGCAACCAGAGTCCAAAATCCACTCAGATTCTTTCCCTATCAGAAGCTCACAAGGACATCAGAGCTTTCATAACCATCTGAGGCTAGATCAACACTGCCACTAGCCTCTTTCCTCCATGATCTCTTCTTCCTATCTGGACAATCCCTTTTGAAGTGTCCCTCTTTATGACAGTGGAACACTCCTGACAAACTTGGATTTTGACTGGGACTGTTTCTAAAATGACCTTTCTTAGACCCCTTTTTCTCAGACCTACCCCTGACATTCAACCTTCCCCATCTAACTTACCCTCCTTCCTAAACTCAGTATCCTTAGTAGTAATAGCTACCACAACCTCATTTAGCTTTAGAGTTTGTCTACCATACTTCAGAGTATCAACAAAATTTGAAAAACTTTTGGAAGAGAATTCAGAAGAATTACAGCTTGATCCTCATCTTCAATGGTAACACTGAGGCCTTCTAAGTCTTGAACCAGTTTTCTAAAATCATTTAGTTTGCCACCTAAGACCTTGTTTTCATCCAGTTTAAAGCTAAAAAATTTTTGTTTTAGAACAACCTATTTGGTGAGACTTAGATAGGTATAGGGAGTCTAATTTTTCCCAAATCTGTGCTGGTGTATTCTTTCTTACCCTCTCTTAAACTTTATCTCCTAGCCCTAGAATTAAGAACTGTAAGCCTTATCTAGAAGTTCTTTCTTTCTTTTTCAGTCAAGCTCTCTGGTAAACTCTCCTACCCCTCAGGAGCAGATAACCCATCCTTGACTAAGACAGCTCTCATTTTCATCTTCCACAACCCATAATCGTTCTCCTGTAAACTTCTCCATTCATACTTAGACATTTCTAAGTTTCTAGCCTTCCCACTTAGAAACTAAAAGCCCCAAATTTTAGAGATCAACCGAAAACCCTAAGTAGTAGACAGAACTGTAGAAAACCCTAGATTACTACAGATTAAAAATTGGATCTCACAACCTAGAATTAATGAACCTAGGTACTCCACAACAAAGCTCTGATACCATATGTTGTAAATCAGACCCAATATAAAGTGAATCATGCAATAGTCCAGATTAGGAATTCAAAACATAACAAGCATAAAAGTGAAGATAAAAGCAGTAAAAGAAAATAGACAAGAGAGACACCAATTTATAGTGGTTCGGTAATCTGAAAGATTACCTACATCCACTCTTCAAAGGCAACCAGAAAAGTATTTTACTATGAGTTTGAGAAACCTTACAGAAGAATCGGCTCACCCTTTTTACACCAAGGCATCAACCCGATACAAACCCTCTGATTACACACCCGTATACCCAGATGCTCTCACCACTCATACATTCCACACAAAGCAGAAAATCAGTACAGATTTATACAAAACAGAAGGGCTATAACAGAAAGGACAGCTTACACCTACCATCACCGTTGATTCCATGGACGGGTATTGGATTTCCAGCACAGCACCTCTAACCATTTCTCTCTCTGTTAATCAAGAGAGAAAAGGGAGAAATGAGTTGCGCACACAAAACCTAATTCGATTTAGGTTTCTGGAACAAAGGGAAAAGACAGAACTGCCCCTCTTGTCTTAACAAATTACTTTGACCAGCCAACTCCAGTTTTGACTCCTACGTGTCATTTAAAAATGCCACATCACTACAGGTTGAAAATGGTGGAACCTGCCGGGAATATTTCGAGTGTCTTGGGTGTTGTTCTCCAAGTTGGCAAGTGGGTGGCTGCTCCGCTTTGGCGTCAATTTAAGTACTTGTACAACTACAATACCAACTTTGACAATCTCCAAGAAGAAGTTAATAGGCTGAAGGATGCGAAAGACAGAGTGGAGCGTAAGGTTGATGCTGCTGAAAGAAATGTGGAAGAGATTGAAGGAAATGTGAAGAAATGGCAGAATAATGTGGAGAAGACCGTTGTTCAAGCAGAGAGGTTGATTCAAGATAAATCAAACAACCCCCGATGTTTGAAGGGATTGTGCCCCAACTTGAAAACCTGCTACAAACATAGCAAGAAGGCATTCAAATTAAAGCGGGATGATATTGGTCCACTCCTACAGCAAGAAGAGAGGTTCGAAGGAGTTTCCTATCCAAGTATTCAACAATCCAACTACGAGAAGAACTTTGACAAGCTCCGAGATGATGTTTTGAAGATGAAGAATGCAAGACTCAAAGTGCAGCATAAGGTTGAGGAGGCTAAAATCAACGGGGAAGAGACTGAAGAGGATGTGAAGAAGTGGCTCGAGGATGTTGATTCTATCATCGTTAAAGCAGAGGAGATGATTGAAAACCAAAGTTCAATTGGCACTGACCGCAAGACCCGCTACCAAAATAGCAAGGCAGCATCCGAATTAATGGTGGAAGATATTGGTCCACTCCTGCAGCAAGAAGAAAGATTCCATAAAGTTTCCTATTCAAGTATTCAACAATCCGACTATGAGAAGAACTTTGACAAGCTCGGATATGATGTTTTTAAGCTGATGAATGCGAGACGCAAAGTGCAGCGTAAGGTTGAGGAGGCTAAAAACAACGTGGAAGAGATTGAAGAGGATGTGAAGAAGTGGCTAGAGGATGTTGACTCTATCATCGTTAAAGCAGAGGAGTTGATTGAAAACCAGAGTTCCGTTAGCACTGACTGGGAGAGCCGCTACCGAAATAGCAAGGCAGCATCCAAATTAATGGTGGATAATATTGGTCCGCTCTTGCAGCAAGGGGAAAGATTCGATAAAGTTTCCCATCCTACTATTCACAAGGAGATATGGCTTAGATATAATGAAGATTATTTGGCATTCAAATCAAGAAACTCCACTGTGAAAAATGTATTGGATGCTTTAAATGATGAGGAAATCCTCATGATGGGTGTTTATGGGATGGGTGGTCTTGGCAAGACCACTCTTGTGCAGGAAATTGGTAGGAAAGCCGAGAAGGATAAACTCTTTGATGAAATTGTTTTTGTTGAGGTGATGTTTAAATTAACTTTATTAGGATACTCAATTAGAGTGATAATTATTAGTATTTAATTTATATCATTAAATTTTATTTGAGTGAAATTAATTAGACTTTAGGCGTCTATATATAAAAGATGTATGTTTCCTTCATAATTAAAGAGAAAAAAGCATTCAATAGAATATAATTTCTTCCTTTTAACTCAGTTTATATGTTTAAGGCTTGCTATTACCTTACTTTTTGTATATGAATACCTTAAAACAAATCAGATATCAGTTTAGATTTTTTTTTTCTTTGTTAAGTGTATTTTCTTTATAATGTTGTTCTTGACTTGGTCATAATATTTTTCTTGTCTTGCAGGTAACAGAAACTCTGGATGTAAAAAGGATTCAAACAGAAATTGCAGATAAATTAGGAGTAAAATTCAATAACGAGAGTGAAAGAACAAGTAAGTTATATGAGAGATTGAGGAACGACAAGAAGATCCTTTTAATTTTAGACAATGTTTGGGAAGATCTTGATTTGAGGACTGTCGGAATTCCTTTGGGAGTCAATCATGATGGATGTAAGCTACTGCTAACAACAAGAAACCTAGATGTGTTGGACAAGATGGGTTCGAAAAGTAATTTTGGGATGAATGTATTAAATGAGGAAGAAGCTTGGAACCTATTCCAGAAGATGGCAGGTAATTTAAGTTATAAAATTCTCACTTTTCATCATATATTATATTTTATTGATTAATTATAACATGAAACTATTGAAACTTCAAGTCTAATTTCACTTCCGTACTTGATAGAAAGTAGTGTTGATTCAAGGGAAACACAAACAAAGGCAATTGCCTCGTGCATTAAGATCACATTAATAGCATATTCATTCAGTTTCATTATTTTGTCAAAAATTCTCTTGAAAGAGCTGTTATTTATTTTATAATTATATATTCTTACTCTATTCTTAACATCAAATTTCTATGTTTGATCTCCTTGTGTAAATTGTTCTCCTAGAAAGGAAAAAAGTTAAATGTGCTATGCAAATTTGGATATAAAAGTTTAATTATCATTATTTTTTTATTACGTAAAGGCCTAATTTTTTTGTCTTGGGCCTAAACTATCACCAAGCCAACTCGGAGCACATGTGCAATGTAATATAAATTACTGGACATGAATACACATAGCTTTCTAAATTTCTGTTTTATCTTTCGTTATACATTTTGTTTCCCCTGTGTTGAGCAGTATGCATTCTCAGTTAAAGCTCTGCTTCAGTTAGTTTTATTATACTGTTTATCATTAAAAGGAACAGTTATTGGACTTTCTTGTATAAATTCAACAATCATTTTATATTTTCTTTGTTTTCTGTAACACCCCTGCTATTGTTCTTTTCTATTAAAACCGTACATCTTCAAGCCTTAATCCTCTTGACAAGTCAAATGTATTTATACGTTTTTAGAGATGAAGAGTGGAAAGAAATATAATTATGAGCAATATTGTTTGAAATTAAGTGGAGTTTTTTTTTAAGATATTTAAAAAAAAATTTGATGGTTTTATTTAGAAAAGAACCAGTAAGATAATAGCTAAAGAGAAAACAACTCTTGTTAAAAATTCAAAACTTGTGAATGGAAAATGCAATTAGTTTAATCCTAACCTTATTGTGCAGGTAATGTTATTCAAACACGTGAATTGAATTCCTTACCAAATGATGTTTGCAAGGAATGTGGAGGTTTGCCCATTGTCATTGCTACTGTTGCAAGAGCATTAAGGAACAAGAGAAATCAATTTGAATGGGAAGATGCCTTGCGAGAATTAAGAGCACCTTCACCGACAAAGTTCATAGGATATTTGGAAAAGGAATACCAGAAGATTGCCTTGAGTTACAAATATTTGAGAGATGAACTCAAGAAAACCTTTCCAATTTCCAGTCTAATGAAAAATAGTACTTCTATTTCAGATTTGTTCAAACATATTGTGAGTTTGGATATACTTAAAGGAGATAACCTCACAATGGAACAAGCACGAAAGCGACTAGATAAAGTGGTCAGGGAACTCAAATACTCTTGTTTGTTACTTCATGGTTTTACAGATAGACAATTTTCTATGCATGATGTTATTCGTGCATTTGCTATAACAATTGCATTTACAGACCACCATGTATTTACAGAGAGAAATGACATTGAAAGGGTATGGAAGGATAAAAATAAACTTAGGAAATGCACAGGAATCTCCTTACCTGGTAGTAGTATTAGTCAGTTTTGGCGCAAAGATTGGGATTGTCCAGATCTTGAATTCTTCTATAGTACATGGGGCTATACTTTCGAAATCCCAGAAGAGTTCTTCACAGTGATGCCGAAGCTCAAAGTTTTAAATTTATTTAATATGCAGCAATCGTCATTGCCATCATCACTCGATCTTCTTACAAACCTTCAAACACTCTGTTTAGATGGAAGCCATATTGAAAGTGTTGCTATTATTGGAAAGCTAGAGAATCTAAAAGTCCTTAGCTTGCAACAGTTAGCTATTGAGGAATTGCCTATAGAAATAGGTCAGTTGACTCAACTAAAGTTGTTTAAGTTAAGCCATTGTCAGAGTTTGAAAATTATTGCGCCAAATGTGATATCAAAATTATTGCAATTGGAAGAATTCTATGTAAGGGGATGCCCTAGTCAGTGGAAGGTTGAAGTACTTGAGGAATTGAAGCTCTTGTCTCAACTGGCCTGTTTAGATATAAATATTGTCGATAGCAAGATGTTGCCTAAAGATTTCTTTTCCAAAGAGCTTAAAAGGTACATAATATCAGTAGGATATTGGCCACTCGGCCCACCCCCATATGTTGAAAATAATGAAGATCAGGGTTTGAGGATATTAAGATTGCAACTTAATTCTACCATCTCATTAGAAGAATTACCAAGAATCAAGAATGTTGAAATCTTATGCTTAGTCAAATTTTCAAATGCTGAGAGCAGTTTTAATGAGTTTATCACTCTCACGCCATTTTTTAACGAAAAGGTTCGATGTACTATAACCTCTTGTACTTGTCTATTATATATATTCTTATTTTCTTCTCTTATGTTTTTTCTCATTTGTTAACATATTGTTGTGGTATTGATTTGTTTGTTCTTCTCTTTTTGCCTTTTATTTTGGTGATTTACATTTTCAGTTAAATTTCACTAGTAAATACTTCTCTTAATTTTTGTTGAATTGATTTAATTAATTCATGCTTGATTCCATGATGAAAATTATTAGAGACTAAAAAAACACATTTTAAATATTCAAGGCATGTCATCTATAAATTCATAAGAATCAATTATTTCTTTTTTAAATTTATCTCATATGAGTTCGTAAATATTGAAACAACAATTGACTTTGATTGCAGGTTATTTTCACCAATTTGATGGCCTTGGAATTGAAGAATATTAGTTCTGGAAAGATTTGGGACAACCAATTTCCAAAACTTTATTCTTCCTCCTATCAAAATTTAACACGCTTTATCTTGAGGAGTTGTCAAAAAATAAAATATGTGTTTCCATCTTCCATTGCCTCTTCCATTGCCAAAAGCCTTCGGAATCTACAACACCTTGAGATAGAGTATTGTAAGGTTTTAGAGGAGATTGTTGCGGAAGAAGAAAGACCAAAAGCTGTTGTTAATTTTGCCTTTCTGCAGGTTACCTATTTGAGGCTTCATTGTTTACCAAAACTTACAGCTTTCTATCCTGGGATACATACTTGTGAATTGCCGATGTTAAAAACATTGATGATCAAGGATTGTGAAAAATTCACTTCAAAATATCTAAGATTCCAAGAAAAATCATTTCATATTTCAGAGCCAAAATCCCTCTACTTGGAGCATAAGGTACGAATCTCTTGTTTACTTCTTTATTTAAAAAGAAAAAAACCTTTGTTTTATATATATTACATAAATTAGAACTTAATAATGTGACTTTTAACATCTTTTTGTTTTTAACAATAATTTAGTAAAAAGAAATATAAATTAATGGTTAGTTGGATTTGGACAATTTTGTTACTGGAGTCTTGTCAATTAAACTCATTAAAGTACTATGTTAAAATCATCCAATATAATTCTATAAATTATCAAAAGTTTACTAGAAATTATCAGTATGATTTTATTTTCGGATATTATCAATTGGAGGACAACCTTTTGTTATTAATATTTTAAGTTTGTATTGGAGAAGGTACAGATATTATCAACTGATAGTGACTTCCCCAAAACCAAAGTCATTCAACTCACAATTTGCAGCTGCCAAATCCCTCCTCTCACAACATGGCTGGCCTTGCAAGTGGTGCGCGGCTGGCCAAGGCCCCTGCTTAATTTACTTTTTTTTTTTTTAAATTATTATTATTTTATATAAATTTACTTTTCAACTAAAAATATTTTAAAGTTGTATAGAATTATACCTTATAAAATGTTAAATCTAATAATCTCTAATAACATTTTATCCCTTTTTAAAACTATTTGGAACTTATCTTCTTTTTTTTTATAGTTTCTTAATACATTATCCCTCAATTGATAACGGCCGCTTTATTTTTACTAAAAAAGTGTCTAACAAGTAATCCTTCTTATGATTGGAAACCAGATCACAAATTCAAAAGTATTTAATATCAGTTTAAAAAGGACAAAATTACGTTAGTTAACATTAAATTTAAGAGAGAAAATTATAAGACATAAACACCCATATAATAATAGGGAGAATGACAAAAATGGACTCCTTTTTTCTATACATGTCATGAAAAGACAAGTTTGTTTAGATCATGTTTAGTTTTCATAGGATAGTAGTGTCTTTTATGAAATTAATTTGACCAGTAAATTAAAGAATCATATGCAATTACCCTTTGTCCTTCTCAAAGTTAATTTAAACCAATTTCAATGGTTCTATGTTTAAAATATAAAGAAAAACTTGGAAAGTGTAACTGAAGCAGTAATGAAGGAACCAGAATAGTGGAAGGTGATTGAGTATGGATGGAACAAAATGGGCTCAGGCCCAATTCACAAACCCAAAATCTAAAAGAATCCAACAAACATAAGAGAAGAAGCAAATCTTTAAAATGATATAATGTCAAGGAGATTCACATAAACCATGGGGTGACGTGACTGTGACATTGTCAAATTAATTAACTTTTTAAGATTTTCCTTCAAAAAGAGATTTAACACTTTTTCATATTCTTCTCTCTCACCAATCATCTAATTCGTTACTTTTGAAGATCCATGAATCTTTAGTTATAATGAAATTGGGTACTGTTTACTAGCCATAGATTTTTACATTATTCGAATAATGATTAAAAAGCTAATTAGATTTTTGTTTCAATGGATTTGTAGATCAACTCTAATTTAGAGGATTTGTCTTTAACAAATAAGTCGAGACAGATTAAATGGCAGAGTTGATTTAAAAATCTTCATATTAGAAATGATGAGTCAGCAAATATTCCATTTGGGCTCCTTCAGAGATTAGAAAATCTGAAAGTGCTTCAACTAGATCGGTGTAGATACGAAGAAATGTTCTCATATGGAAAGGATGAGAAATATGCAGATCACTCTAGGACCATCCTTAGCTTTTTTCCGGCATCTTCAAGTTCTGAATGTAATAAAGTGCAGAAAGCTAATGAAGTTAATGAGACCTTCAACAGCTAGAAGCTTGGTGCAATTGAGAGAATTGAGAGTAGAGGGATGTGAAATGGTGATAGAAATAGTAGAAAATGAGGGAGATGCAACAACGAGTACTGAATTTGTTTTTGAAAATTTGAAGAAGTTGTTATTTAGAATGTTAGAAACTCTCGTATGTTTTTGCTTCGGAAATTACTCTTTCAATTTCCCATCTTTGGAAAAGTTAACTATAAGAGAATGCGCCAATATGAAGACTTTCTCTAAGGAAATCTTAAGCACACCAAAGTTACACAAAGTTAATTATGAGAGTTTCAATGAGACTAACAAGAATTGGGGGAAAATAAAGGAAGTAGAGAATGAGGGGAATGATCTTAATAAAACAATACAAGGAGAATACAAGAAACAGGTATGTTTAAAAGTAATTAGTTTAAATATTTACTTATTTTTGCATTTTTTTATATATTTTAATAATATTATATTTTAGCTACAAGACTGCAAGTAATAGTAGGATGAAACGAGTTTTGTTAGTTTATCCATATAAGTGCATAACACTAAGAAGACAATTTTAAGTATTGACCTTAGTTGAATAAACGATTGTAGGTTCAGGGATGACATTATTATATTAGTATTTGTTTACTTTGGGCCTAGGCCTTTCAGAAATTATTAAAATTTACAAAAGGACACATTTTTCTAAAATATCATAAACAATAATTATTATTTTTAATTACTTTATATTGAAACAACTATTAACTTTTACTGTAGGAGATTTCCCTTGAATTGAAGTTATGGACATTCAAAGATATCAATTCTACAGAGATTTCCTACAACCAACATCCAACTTCCTTCTATCAAAGTTTGACACACTTGTTCTTGTGGAATTGTGGAAACATAAAATATGCATTTCCATCTTCCATAGCCAAAAGCCTCCACCAACTCCAACAACTAATGATTAGGGATTGTAAAGTTTTAGAGGAGATTGTTGCAAAAGAGGAGGGAGCAAATGCAGTTGTCAATTTTGTCTTTCCGAATATAACCTTATTGAAGCTTCAAAATCTACCAAAACTTGCAACTTTCTATCTTAGAATACATACTTCTAAATGGCCAATGTTAAAAGAATTGGTGGTGAGAGACTGTGAGAATTTTACTTCAAAACATATGAGCTTCCAAGAAGATGGTGAGGAGGGTGAACTTCATATTTCCGAGCCAAAATCTCTCTTCTTGGACGATAAGGTATGCATCTTTTATTTCATTCTTTATTGAAAAAGAAAATTAACTTACTTCATATATATTACATTTATTTCAAAAACTTTAATTATAGAATTCTTAACATCTCCATTTTTCCTTGGAAAAAAAATTTAGAAAAATTAATGGTTATTTAATTTGAACAATTTTGCTTTAGGACCTTATCATTTAAACTCATTTACGTACTAGATTTAAAATAAATAAATCATCCAATATAATTCTAGAAATCAACAGTGAAATTTTATTTTTACTAGAAATTTGTTTATCAAGTGATTCATTTTATTATTGAAGAAATTATTTACAAAAAGTTTGCAACTTGAAAGCCTCCTAAACAGGATCATAAATTCAAAATTATTTTAAAATGATTTGGTGGTGGCCAAGAGTAATAAATAAATTAAATTTTGAATCAAATTATATTAGGGTAACTATCAATAAATTATGTACCGATTTCTTTTCAATTATCACATCTATTTGATAATGTTATAGGCCTCATTTTTTAATTAATTGCATTAGAAGCTTTAATAAATGAATAAGTAAATGTCCAAAGTCCAACTTATAGTCAAAAAGGATAAAATTGACATTTCATACCAAAAGGAAAGATTAAACAAGAATATCACTAAAATAGAAGATAAAATTAGAAAATATAAAGAAAAAACTATTTACAAAATCTGAAATTATATTTTTAAAGTTGTAACCATTAAATACTAAATTTGAAAATTCAAATAATAGAAATTTGGAAAAAAAAAAAAAAAAATTTTTTAAGAAATTCATATTAATTTAATTTCTATAACTGTTTAAAAAAATAAAATAACATTATAAATTATTCTTAAAATAATTAAGACAATGTAAAAAAAAAAATAATTGAAAATGGTTGTAGTGGTGCCTACAACCATTAGATCGCAGTTTGCAATATGGGGTTGAAGTCATAGCCATCAATCATGTCTACAATCTAAGGTTGCGCCACAGCCATGCGATTTGTGGCTAGGATTTGCATCTGTAGCCGTTTCTATTAGATTGTAGCTTAAATTCAAATAATTTAATAGACAATAGGAGGAGATGTATATTGTAGTTTTCCAAGTTAGTGGTGGATGAGTAGTTTTTTGGTTTCAAGGGGTGTAATTGGTAAAATCACATAAATGAAACATTCCCTCACAAATTTGATTCATGGTAGCCCTTTGAAGAATAATCTAAATTCGTTTAAATAAAAATAAAATTCATTTGAAAAGCATGTTTCTATTTTCTATTTTCCAAAATAATGTAAATAGAAACAAGAAAGTATGTTTAATCTGTAGTTTACAAAAA